TGGCTCGGCGGGAACAGCGCGCGCACACACCCGCTCAACACCTGCCTCTCCCACCCACGGTCAGTATAACAATTTTACTATCACAGTCATTTAATGGAACTTAGTTTAAATTAGCATTAGCTTTGTAACATTTACTCTTCAACCAGGCAGAGTATGGGCATTCGTTACTATTGATAGCAGTTGATTAAAGTATTGCGGCCTTAGCCTGGAGCAGGAGAAGAAACAGGGAGTATTTAGTCAGTAACAGTCTAACACTTCCTCTTGCCTCACCCTATGCGAGAGAAGTCATTTGTTGATTTTCCCAGACAGCTATGCATTCGTCTATTTAATAGTTTAAAAGTTTCTTCTATGTTTACATCTCAAAAATTTATAATTATTTTCTTCCTTATTACAAATTATATTTAACATCTTGATTAAGTTAAATCCATCATAGATAATGTATAAGAAACTAAGCTAAGAATACTTTAGTTATTTTCGAAATATTTAGTTCAAATAAAACTATAACTAAAGTTTTGAGGACACAACATGACGTAATTTCACTTGATATGCAAGGATTATCTCCGTAAATAATTTTATAACTTTTTAGAAATGTTTGTCACCATTACAAAATGTTACAACGCAGGTAATCTATCTGCTACTATGAATATAAGTTTCAGTACAATTTTTACGTTGTTACCGTTTTTCCTTGTAAGTTGTAAGTGATACTATTAAAAGATGTTTTGTTGTATTGTGTCGAAGCCACTTCAAGCAATGCATAGAAATTTACAATTGAATTTGAATAGAATACTACATAAGTATGTGAGGTAGTTGACTCACGAACAACGAACACAATTAAGTGCCCTAATCCCCTCCGCTGATCTTCACAATATGCTCAAGAACGACAAGCGACTGATACATATCTATTATCCAGTCCGTTCTAAGCGGTATGTAAATATTTTGTTACAATGAACTATGGAGATTATGAATGTTAATATTACATGAAATAGATGAATACTTATCTCATACCTCGATACCGTTCGAAGGCTTTATTATGCTAAACAAACATTATCATTGTTCGTATAAAAATAGAAACAGTCAATGAGATATTGTGCCTATTTGTAATAGTTTGAAAGACTCAATCTGAAACATTTAAATACCTTGCAGTCAACATAGTAAGTCTACTGTTTATTAAATTAATGTGGTATAGGTCATCGACATACAAAAAGACTAGTTAAAATTATGTAGGTCAGTGTCAGAGGACAGTTGACATCCTCATTCGCTACTAACGTTCACTCTTCAACGGCACTATGCATACATTATCAATCGTAAGCATTGCAAATAGAGTTTAAATTCAAGCAACACACTATAGAATTCAGTCAGGGAAAGTTTGTTGTGCAAATTCTGAAATGACTGCTCATTGAAAACAAAAGTTTGTTGTCATTTCTACTCAGACGTTACAAATTAGGTAAATGCGACGTGCGGTTAATAAATATTACGAGGATACGGGGTGATGTGTGGCGGGGAATATGTTTGGCGAGACTTTATGCAGACGTTTCTTCGGGTATTGTGAATATGTGTGTATTATAACTTGAACTTAAGCAATAAAAATCAGCAAAATTAAAAGGGTAAAACAAGAAGGTCATCTTTGATTTAGGCAGTCAACTAGTAGGAATGTTAACGAATAATCGAGTCGTAAGTGGTATCATTACGGCGTCATATTACGAGACAAGTGAGCGTCACAAAGGCGCTAATGAGGGCGGGGAGTTGGAGGGGAGGGGGAGTAGCGCGGCGCGGGGTGAGTGGAGAGGTGGAGGTGGCCTATGAAAGCTGTCAGCGGTTGATTTTTCCGAGTGTCGTGGGCGCCGCGCTGATCGATAAGTCACGTGGTTCGCGCGCTCGCCGCTTGCCGCTCGATAGTTAGTTAGCCTCTGCAAATCTCCCGTCACTATTCTACTTCCCCCACACATGAACGGTTTTCAGGCCATTACGAGTTTATATAACGCTTCAAATACCTAGCGTAAGCATCATATATCTACGTATGTACTTTGTTAGGTTTAAGGATACGGAAACATGGTTTATAATATTTGTTAAAAAAATCTACACATACTTCAAAGACCAGGTTTACTACGCACACAATTAATTTTAGTACTTCAACTGTTTAATCTTAATAAGAAATTTGCATTTAAAATATTAAACCTTACACTTCATTGTAGAAATAATCGTAATAAAATGATAAAATAATTGGTAATTATATACAAATAACATTATCTATTTAATGATTATTTCGTTCAATCAGAAAATCTTACACCGAAACCAAACAATCAAAATAAACTTTAAAACTTCAAACCGCGTAGCAACGTAGCGGCGGCGTAGCACCGTAGCACAATATTTATATGCAGTGTTTTAATCAGCTCTTAAAAAAAAATAGAGGATAGTTTTAATAACATTAAATCAGGGTATGATAAAATGATGATTTTTATAAAGGTAGGTGATGACTGATGATGAATGCAATGGGTGCAACGCTACGTTGCACGCGGAGTAACGGACATCGATCGGCGGCGCGACCACCCCGCCTCCACACACCCTCGCGCCACTAAACATTATCTCATGTACAGGTCGTGTGCACATATTTCACCATCACTCAATGTAAATATTGACAAACAAAAATACCTTGCCGACGGGTTGTAAACAGTTTACTCATGGCTAAAACTCTTTCTCTCACTGAATTTCAATCAGTGGTTCCGAGTTTAAAAGTGGAAGCAATTTTGTTGCTACGTGCGTCGTAGTACGTAGAGTAACAATAATAGTTGTTAGAAGTTATATTTGAGCAGTTGTTAGTTGTTCGAATGGCCGTTGTTGTAAATATTTCAGTATTATATTATTTTTCTAACGAATAGGAATTAAATTATAATTAATTAATATTATAAATTAGGTAAACTCGTCAAAATTTAGAAATCTACTTCTAGTAAAATATTTAAAAAAATAGGCTAGAACAATAAATAGGCTGTTGAGGAGAATAAAAATAACATTTTATTGAATTTATGATAAAGTACTGATCCTAACAGGTAGTCGTCTGGTCCGAACTTTTGCAGAAATAACTTGAGTTGCAAAAGTAAGGTTCCAGAGATGCCGCGTCGTGAACCTCTCGAAATTGTTTTAAATGTAACCGCAATTAACCCGTGCTCAGGCCGGTTGATGTTCTGTATTTATTTTAACTATGTATTATTTCAAAACAGTTAAGTTTATAACTTTAAGCGGTGATATTAATAGTATTTTGTTTATGAACTTGCAGCATAGATATATAAATACCTGATACTTAGCTATATATATGTAGTTATTATCTTTTTATTATACAAATAACTAACGTAATCTGGAATAAGTATCTATGTACATTTCTCTTCTCAAAATATATAAGCTGTGAATAAATGTTGGTCTAAGTTCCAAAGTAATAAAGTAAATTAAGGAAATGATTTAATTTTAAATGGCTTTAACCGTCTACCGCTAAATTTATATTGAAGAATTTTCTCTATCCTTTCCTATTAAAATTAAACGATATTAAATTACTTTAATTACCAATTATTTGCTTTTGTAGTCACTTATTCTGTAACTAAACATGAGGTCTGAAGTTCAATGTCCAGACACTTACGGGAGGTAACCGATTCGAAATTCTGATTTGCGGAAAGTCGACGGCCTCATCTAAGGGTCACCTCTACCTATTTCATAGGGAAGAAAAAGTTTAATTTTACTTTTGCGTAAGGTCGTCAACTTTTACGCACAAAAATGTCACATAACTGTAACTTTTATCAGTAATAGGAGCTGTTGATATATTTTGTTAAGAAAATAAATACGTAATGTATTTAAGTACACGTCACTTAGACTATCAAAAACTTATTTAGACAACAACACATACGTGGACAAAAACAACACCTACTTCGAATACGAAAATGATAAATTTTACAAATACCTATTAATATTTATTTATTTATTTTACAATAAATTGTACACAATAAAACATATAGGACGAAACATATAGAGTAAATAAATATATGTGACTAAGAAAATCTTTCTATATTACTGTATATAGGTACCTCAATTTTATTATTGGATTCTGCCTAAAGTTTGATTAAATGTGGTAAAAATATGTAATTTGCAACAGATCCTGAATGCAAATTACCATTATTGCGCTTTTTTCGTAAACAGCGTATATATATGGCATATGTAGTACCTAGGTATAATTTCGATATAAGGGTTCAATTGAGTTGTTGCGTTGCCCGCGCTTTTACGATACCGTGCCGCCCACCGCTGTATTCGAGGCCTTACAATCCTTCAACTTATGCAAAGAAAAGTTTTGTACTGCGCAAATGAAGGAACAATAGAATACCTACAATTTCAGGTCTGACTTTTTATAAAAAAATCTTTGTACATTTTCCATCTTTTGTATACTTCGGGCCATTGTTAACAAAACGTGACGGTTGAACACGACTATAAGAGTTTAAATTGGATTTTTTTTCTAAAAGTTTTATGTGTGGTATAAAACCTAATAATTATAATGGAACCTTTTTTTTCTTATTTTTAATTGTTGCACTTTGGTATAAACAGAAGATTTTAAGGTTTAGTTTATGCATTTACCCTAACAGAGTAATTGTCGTTATTCTAGTGTAAAACGTAGTTGAATGTTCCACAGACTAAGGTCAAACTGTATCGGAAGTAATCCTAGAGTCGACTTTGCTGTAAGCTGTCTGTTAGCTACTGTCTCAATCGATAAGTACCTACGCGTGGGACAGACGATCCCTTACTCAGTAGGTAATCAATGACGCCGAACTCCTTGTCTTTTCTAAAATATCTACTCGTTTTGCAGCGATTTAATATCAAAAACCCTACTACTGTTTATCGTTTAGATATTGTTTTTCAACGAAATAAAACCATGTTTCGTTAAGAATGGAACATTTATTTACAGTTTTGGTACATTTTATAGTTATGAAAAGAAATTAATGTTATTTATCTACCCCTTTGCATTTTCAGCCACCGCTAGAATGTGGAATGAACGGTCGGGGTCCCGCTTACTGCGAACCGCAGATGTGGCCACATTATCAGGTAATATGAATTTATTAACACTATTATATGCTGCTGATGGTAAGCAATCGACATTGTCCATTGACAACAGCGGCACCAGAGGAGCTACAAGTACGTTGCTCACCTTTTAGGAGTTGTTAGGAATTAGAAGGATTGGGATTTTGCAATCTAAAAATATTTTTGAGTAATCTTAACTGGGTTGACTATAAAACGAGGTGTGATAATGTCAATAATCTTAAAAAAACGATCCGTAGGTAATTCATTATTTTTCTGTATTTAGTACTTCATTCATATCTTAACTTTTTTTTCTATTTGATTTCATGATACTGTTTTATGTTGTGTACTTACTTATATATGTTTTCTTTTCTAGCAGATGGGTGCTATGGGTGGCGGCGGTTGGAGTGGCGCGAACGCAGCCAATGGGTGGGCTCCGCGCAATGCGTGCTCGCGTGACCACATGCGGTATCCTCCTGAATGTCGCCCGATGAAGGTTATTAATGGATATTTTCTATCATATTTGTGTAAATATTATGAAACCATTAACTCATTTTTACATTAAAATAGCTTTATTTTTTAAAACTTTCCCTAAACAGCATAAAGTGGTATGTGCGTTGATCTCAACTCAAATGTTATTTTTATTACGTTTTCACAGAGTACTCATTTGCATAGTCAGAGTCAGGCTTGTCAACAAGATGGGAGATCCACGCCTTATCCTGTTTATGAAGATTCGCATTACAATGGAGAGGGTGGGGCAAGGCAAAGAAATACCCCCGAATTCACGCCGGCTGTAACACAGAGTGAAGCAAGTCGCACTCCTCGAGAGCGTTTTCCTGTCGAGCCACGTCGCTCTCCTCCCGAAGAGAAGCGGCCGCCGCCAGTAGTTCCGCTGCCAGCTTTCCAACAAGCATTTGGGTCCACAGAAATCGGGAAATTTGCCGAGGCGTTTAGTCGGACGGAGATCGCAGTCGACGATACTCCTGCCGACAATTTTATGTACGAGTCGTTTCCCGAGTGGGACGGATCTGTCGAGCCTCAATGGTCCTCCCAACCCGCGGCGCAGCCCACTACGCGGGAAATCAAATGCGAAGACAACTTTTAAGTTGTCTTTGCCCTAGTACTAATTTGTAGGCAAATTTGCCTTTTAGTTAAATTAGACAAATTGTAGTTCCACCACCAAGTTGCCAAAATGAGTAGAATTGAGATGAGGAGTTGAATGTCATAGGACTATTATGATGTGATGTCAAAATTACTGAAGATTACGAAAATTTAAACGACGGGATAAAAATAGTGGTGTGACTTTTAATTCAATATATAAAGTAGAATAATTAGTTAATCCCTTTAACTAGTTTTAGGCCGATCTTGAAGAAATGAGAAATATTATAACGAGGAAGTGGGAAGGTTAGGTACTGCATATAGGATAACAAATGAATCATGACTCAATGTGCCTTTATTCGGAGAGCCCGGCCGCTACTCGCGCGGTGTCGTCCGCCCCATTCTGCGTTGCTATGTACGACATAACATTACAATAGCAATTATAGGGACCAACGTTTAGACAAATATACACGACCCGGTCGCGTGCACACACCATGCGCAATAAGCTCAACGAAATACTTTATGAATGTTCTGGGATTTTAAGGAAAATTATAACAACATTAACTTAAATAAAATAAATAATAAAAACAAATTAGTAGCTTGTAATTAACTAATAAAATTAAATTAAATCTTGATCTTTCAAAACTAACTGTTCCCTTTAATCAATATGCTTTCTAATGCTACCTATATAATTTTTTATTAGATACATAATATAAAACTTCTTAAACTAAACTCAAAATAAGACATTTTATATGTATAATTTCATACCTATTTCTGTTAGTTATATACCTAATTGTAATAATTATTATAACAAATAAATAACGATTGTTGAAAATATTTGAGGGGCTACAAGACGCCGCGCGGTCTTATTATAAACATTCAAAATTTTTCAGAAAGTAATGAAACAAGTCATGTGTGTAGGTATAAATAGGTAGTTAAATTTGATAAAAATTTTAAAGAGATTACTTATGAATAAAATGGCTTTTTAATTGAATATTTAGGGGTCCAACAACGTTGATGTAAAGTGTTTGTCGTGATTTTAATTTCCCATTTAGAATCACAAATACGACAGCAATATATCGCGTAGATATACTGGTAGTCAGTCATCGATTACCTAGTACCTAGCTGAATTGATGTTACAACAATTTGTCTGTTGTTATGTTTAGTTAGGTATATCAACTTGAATGGTTGCTTGGTGACAAAGAACTAATGTCGTTTCTCGTTAAGAAACTGAATATTTATTGTATGAGTTTTGTAAATGATTAGTGTCTGTGATAGAGTTGTTTGTGTATGTATATGTTTTAATATAGGTTGCTATGTAAATTATGTCCTACAAATTAAAATTTGGTATTTACGTTAACATTGTCATTAATTAGATGTTAAACTGTCCACTTACAGACGATTTTTATTTATCGTTGTCGAGTTTTCGTGATCGCTTATGAGAAAGCTGCGTTTAAGAACAGAGAAACCCAAACATTCCGAATTATTTCATAGACCTTTTGATTCCACAACGAATTCAACTGTTATTGTGTTAACAGGACACGTGACTACGTTTGTATAGCACCTGTCGAATTTGTTGTTCGGTACATCTGTTTGATTGTCAGCGGAAGCTAAAGTTGATGTTAGTTACTTTGTTTCGAGCTTATTACTTAAATAAATTTATCTTATAATGTGCGGTGCATGGATAACAGTAACTTCCAGTGGTCTTCATTTTTATAGAGGAAACTTGTGTGACAGTATTTTCGGTCCTTTTCGATTAAAAAAAAAACAGCAAAATTAATGGAGTGCCTTACGTATTTAATATGATATGAAATTAGGATGGATGAATTTTATTCTAGCATAATTTGATGAAACACCATAATAAAATATAATAGCGTAATGAAACTTCTTTTAAATCGAGTATTTCATTAATTATTAGATATTGTAATGAACTTAATAAGAGTTATTTAATGATTATCTTTATATATAAATATAAATATCTATTTAAAATAATCGTGGTGTGCACTAAATTATTTTATTGCAAAGTTTATTGTTTTAAATATTGTTTTGTTATTTTCTTAGTAGAAAGGAACGAAGTATGATTTTAGTACCTAGTGTTTATTATTAAGATTAAAAATAAACTTATTCCAATTGTATTTATTTAGTTATAGTGTGATCAATTTAGGTACGACTTTATGTAACTAGTGTGTACACCATTTCTTCCGATTTCGAGTTTTTTAGAAGGTGCGTTTACTTTCATACATAATATATTATTGCAAGGCTTACATTTAAAGAGGAATATAGCAAATATAAGCAAACGCTGAACAGTTTTATCTTGAATAAGGGGTTCATTATTATTTTGACGATTGGTAACTACTTTCATTACAATTTCGAAAAAATATTCAAGTTCAAGATTTGTAACAAAATCAATGAACTTATTTTGCTCGAAGATGAAATGAACATACATATTATTTTAAACCTTAACGTCAAGAGTAATGCGTATCCCCACTTTATCCTATCCTCTTGAAACGCCAACGAATGGTGGTTAACAAACTTGAACGGATACAAATGTAGCCAGTGCCACATAAATTATGTATTTACGATATATACATCTTCTTAGATAGTCCTATTGTTATTTGTTTAAGTAATGTTAGGAAGGAATATAATTTCTATTGTAGAGAGATGTAAAGACGGTAATGAGGTTATACATTATATAGGTGTTCACAAATAGAGCTTCCCGAGTGAGTATATCACAATTTTGTCTACCATTCATGTTTTTCCTTGGTTCCTTGATCATTAAACTAATTATATACTATTGTAATCTACCGCTTCTTCATCTCATTTCATATTTATTTTTATGGATTCAATTTCAATTGTTCCACTCTACCCACATAACCTTTGTCCATATCTAAAGATATTCATACTTTTATAGCACTATTCATAAAAATCATGCATACATAGGATTCAGACTAAAACAAAGCTAAAAGTAATAATTTTTAATCTTACCTACTTGCCACAAATAGATATTAGAGCATTTTTCACGTAGAAGTATTTCGAAATTTTCTTTACATTCATAATAACATAGCTGAAATCTTTAATAAATAAATAAATAAATGATAAACGTGACTGTATAATGAACTTAAATCGTTTTAAAATATTGTAGTTATGAGGCCTCCATAGTTTTTACCTATTGTCGAGGTCAGGTATGAGTGAATTGTTCTTTAAGTTCTTGTCAAAATTCGTTAATGAAATTAGGCCAACAAAATTTAGACGCGTAAGTTTTATGTAAATTTGTTGAGGCAGTTCAAAATTAATGAACAAAAATATTTAATGAAAATATTGTGTACCTATCTAGTTATAATTATTATTAACCTTGTAAATACATACTTAATTATATTTTGAATGTTTCACTCATATCAATTTAGAAAATCTGTTTTATTAGCAAATTGTAAGGTTTTGAATCCCGAAACACTGAAATGTTTGATTTATGGACGTCGATGTACGATTTAATAAACACATTGTACCGATTACATCCAAGTTTTTTATTTAATAACGGAATCGTAAAATATCGTATCGTATAATATCGGAAAATGTTACCCTTTAACCTTGTTCTATTCAGAGTGAAAATTTTCATGGACTACAGGGAATTGAAATAAGTAAAAGGATTATATCATATTTTAGTTTTATTCATAAGCAATAAAAAGTAATTTCCATACGTGTCACAAAATTTAACATATCAAATACTTATGAAAACAATAAATACATCATTAAAATTGTAAATTAGACTAGTTGTTTTGGAAGCCACTAAAGGATACTAGAATTAATACCATTTTTTATTTAGCACGCGTTGACAAACTACTTGAAAGATTTTTGTCTGGAAAAATAAGACAAACGTGCACATTGTATTTAAAACATGTGAAGGCACTTTAAATTTAGATGACGAAATCATTATAAATTAAAAGTGACAAAGATTCAGTCCAAGGGATATAATTAATTGTATGGAAACTACAAATAAACTTATTATTTATTAGTTATCAATAATTGAGACATATTAAGGAAATAGTTGAATAACTTATTTAGAGTAAACAATACATATACGTGCACGAAAGAGATCGACAGACACAAGAAGAACTGTACTAAAATCCACAAAGTAGTTCGTCAACTTCAATAAATATGTAACGTTGTGTACAGGTGAGGTTTTCCCGATAATACACCGTCAGTAAGTAACGAGAAAACAACGGAATCGGCAAACAATACAAACAACAAATTATAAAAGTTCAATACTTATTATAACATTAGTTACTTTCGTATTTTACTTCAATAAGTCTTTCTAAATATTCATTCATTTTTCTACTTTACTTCCAAATGTCATTGAAGTATGAAATACAATCGCAATTAATGAGCTCATCCTTCATTTAAATTTCACACGTGTTTGTTTATTCATTTTATTAATTATAATTTTCTTAGTATAATAATAATCTATAAATTGATTGTATAAGTTCGTAATTATTAAATTCGAATATTTTAACATATGTATATTAATAAACTGTTTTATTTCAATAACTCACAAAACAAACACTTAAACAATATTCAAATTTCAAAATATAATGTGGTCACAATAATATACATACATATTACACAGGTATTATCTAAGTATCATAGTGCATACTGTGTACATATATAGTCCTGGTAACTGCAAAATACTTAAAAATAATAAACATTTACTAAATCACAAGAAAACATATAAGCTGAACGAGATAGCTCCACCGCCGTTGATATGTCCCGACATGAAGACCTACCAAAGTGCGACGAGATACTTGACACCACCGATCTCCATAATATATTATTACGAGTCACACCATATCATATATTTATATCTCTTACCAGCAGCTCAGTAGGTGTTCATACATTTACAGCAAATATTCCGATAATAATATATTACTAAGAGCTACCTTATTCGTAGCAGTACAAGATACAGGGGTTCAAAGTATTTCGTCGATCCAGTTTACAGTTTTCCGCGACTGCATTCAACACATTTACATTATATTACAGCAAATTAACAGTCATACATATATAAGTATAATACATTCAATAATAGTAAAACCCAATTTGTGGATACATGTTATATCATTCACCTAGCCTATGATAGAACTTTCGAATTTGATCACGAAGAGAAATTATTATCAAAACTACCTAGTGTATATTTTCCATTTGGTTAGTGCATTTTGAACTATAGGGTAGTGAGTTGCCAATGTGACGAAAATGAAACGCAAATACATTACAGCTAACTACTCTGACAATATATTTATTTATTCAGGAATATCTTCACGACAAGTATTCAAGCACAAGGAGGTGTCGAGAGTACCTAATTTGGCACAGAGCAGTCCGTACAAAACGAATCTATAGGATATTCGCATGCTTAACCAAGTATCAAAGGAATGCCTTAAATAAAGCTAAAGTAGAAAGTCTTTACGAGGGTGTCTCTGTATAGTGGTGGCATGCTTTCGACTACGTTTACTTTAGTGTATATAAATTACAGTTTTATGGTGTAGGCTCTATTACAAGTAGAATGTTCTATGCGAATGTTACAATCCGTTTCTTTCGATGGAAAAGTAACATATCATTAACAGTCATCACTGAAACTAATTTAATGGGACTCAAAAATGTCTTCATTTTCTATTGATATTGTCATTTATTTGTAGTTATAAAATAGACCTACCTAAATAAACGTGTCTTGTAGGTCGATTTTAAATAAAACTTATTTCTATTAATACGAGGTTTATCTAATGTTCAGCAAATATATACTGAAACACCAAATGTCCAAAGTGAAGTCGAGAATATGATGCGACACTGTATTGTTGCGCGTTTTCGGTAAACGTTTCCATTTTTTATTTCAAACCCCATAGAATGTCATGCTTTGCCATATATTTAATTTCTATTACTTACAAGGAAATCTTCAGAGACATGTTACAATGCCTGTTAGAACTCCAAGTTATCTTAGATATTTAGACAAAATGTCTTTTCCTTTAGTAGAACGTTATTATTTTACAAAAGAAGGTTCTCATCAAATAATTAATTTGTTGTATTAATGAGGGTATTGTCAAATTATGTTTCGATATAATTAAGTAGGTACACCATACTTCACAAAAGAGCCGCACGCAGTCTTATTCGTTACGGGCACAGGATTTTGCACCTAACATAAACGTATTTGAGCTTAAATTATTTATGAAGTCAAATAAAAAGGAACGAGAACTAATAAATGACACTGATTTTAACTCATACTTTAGGTAAATTTTGAGCTTAAGAACAAAGTTAGATAGAGCAAAATAATTTGTAAGTGAAGAAACTAGAAGGATACGACGAGAGGTACATAAACATCGCATGGTGAAGTGATTTGGTATTTAGGGTTCGGTAGGCGGCGGACAACATAAGTCGGGCGACCAGTTGCAAGAGCTGGGGGTCGCGGGGAGAGGCGCAGCGGCTGCGAGCGCGGGCGCGGGCGCGGCGCGCGGCGTCTAGTGGCGGTGGTCGGGCGCCAGCGACTTGCGGCTGGCGGACAGGTGGTGCGGGCGCGGCGCCGCGCGCGTCGACCGCGGCAGCGTGGTGGGCGCCGCGCCGCCTGCGCCCGCGCCCCCGCCCCCGCCCCCGCCCGCCGAGCTCGACATGTCGCGCGGTTTCCACACGGGCGATCCTACAACACACCAAACACCGAACTCTTTATAAAGCCCACTTCACACTTCATTTGTTCCAAAGATGCGCGAGTGGATGCCACTGTACAGTAACGACCTCTATTGTATTATTACCCCAAAAGAACTTTCCATGTAGAAAGGTGACCACCCAACATATTTGTCACCGTGTTACATTGTAATATAGAACTGCTGTTATTTATTTTCAGTTGCAATGATAAGGGATCAGTAAGAACCAGTTTTTATTTTTGTTTTACTGTACTTTGGCATCCAAATTGCAATATCAATGAAACAGGTGCCGTGTGATCTAGGCTTAAATAATCTCACGGCTGTGGGCGCGCAATGCGCTGACGGAATTTGGACGGATGGGACCGATCGCCGGGAATCGCGCACGCGAGCAAAGAGTTGAATGTTTGATGAGTGTTGTGGAGGGCGGGGGCGCGCCGCCGCGAGCGCGTCATCGAACATTCAAGCGGTAGGGGGCGATGCTGGGCTTTGGCGGCGGCCTCTACTTTAGTTAGAACATCTACTTACTTTACTTAAGCGGTAGCCTAGATACACACAGTGACGATAGAATCTACGGTGCACCGATCCATTAATTTGCATTGAATATATTTACTTTACTCACTATTGATTACTTATTTAAGGACATTCACTTTTGCTCGTGGGTGCAACATCTATTTTGACAGAGTCTGTGCACAGCTACGGAGGAGGTAAAGCACTACGTGAACATACAGAGAGTGTATTTGCCTACGTCGATTTGGTTATATTATAATTTGGATACACAGCTAGCCTATTATTTTAATAGTAATTTTTTTAGCTATATAATTTTAACCATAATGTAAGTCAATATTTTTTATTAATGCATATTATTATAGTATGTAATCTGAGCATGATAAGTGTGTTGCATATAGCGCATAGCGATTTACTATACGGTTAAATATCTGAAATACTCTTTGGTTACTTTAATCTCGGTGTGAGATGTATCCACGAAAGTAGTTCAGTATATTATTATGTTTCTGCATGTAACTACGTATTATGAACAATTATGATTGGTGATAGAGTTTTGTTTCATTATTTTTCGTTATTGCACAACCAGCCTATAATGCTACGAAGCTTCGAATGTTGGCCACAATAATTTAAGTATTTCATTATAATATATCTATTAGTGCAAATATTTGGAAATAACCTATCTATAATAATAATAAATTTACATTCACAAATATTATGTTTAACCAAATAAACATGCCTTAAATTATAAATATATACATATAATTAAATATTACGTATAGTGCACAACGGCATGTATATAGTAATATAATATTGTTTGGAGTGTAAAATATTTATGGATTATACTTAATAAATTGATAACGTTAATACTAATTTGAGCAGGTACTGAAGAAATGCGAGAGGTAAAGTAAATTAATATCATTACTTATAAGTACATACTTAGAATTGGAAGACTTAATTAACGATACAAATCCATGGCCATCTACAGAATAATACATTAAACCTATCGGGATGTATAATAACAGTGTAAATTAACAAGAAGAATACTATGACGAAGGTGATAAAAGGGTTAACATCAGTACGATACCACAGCCATTATTATGTAACACTTAGCACTTGGATTTATCTAGAATAGGAGTTGATTAACTTTAACATGCTATAATATACGTTTGTTATATTTGTTGAGTCTACTAATATGTTACGGGGTACATTTAATACTACACTGAGAGTCGTGAAATTACTATGTCTATTACAGTTTACTATAACTGTGACATTGAATTATACGATGATTTGAAAATTTCCACGTATACATTTTATTTGAACGTCTGTGTAATTTTGTCTTATTTTTGAGATCATGGTTCGAGCCTTATTAAGTTTCAAATGATTTCACGTCTTGGTAGTCAAATCACATATTGGTGAAACAGTCTTGTAATGTTAGATTTTTGTCTTTATAATATTCTGATAGTATTCAATTATAATACAGCTTTAAAGCTCTTTTTAAATAAGGGTAAGTTATTTCGAATTAAAAGTACCTTCGACTGACTTATTTTGACCTCAGTATTATCAGACTAGGTTCTGTGATGTGATTTTAGGTTAGGTTCTGTATGTCAATTAGACTAGGTAGGTATATTAAATTGATTACTTTCAGATTAAAAAAGTATCATCCGAGGTTGTCGTTATCCTGGAATAATTGAATATTATCGAATCAATTTAAACGTGTATTTGATCGAATTCACTCCTTTCGTGGTGCCGGGTTGGCGTGCATCGAGCACGCTCTTGGGGCATGTCGTCCAAGGTCTCGACACTGCTTCGATCCGATGAAGTCAGGATCGACTGAGCAGTCATTGACTTTCGTCGAGATTTGGGCGACTTGCCCTTCCCCTTATGCTAGGAGGTTTTACTCTGTTTTTTCCCAGACAGGTAGCATTGAACACAAGTTGGGTGCTCGATAGCCTTTGCAATAGATTCAGTTGATTTTGAAACTACGATGCCCATTTTTATAGCCTTATCTTCTGCCTTAGCTAATTGAGAATAATGTGTCATTCTATCTAAAGAATTGGTTCCAAGACGTGCTAATTTCTCTCCACCAGATTTAGAAGATCGTCGGCTTAAATTTGGTGATTTGCAAGGTGATTTATCGAAACTAGCTTGTGGGGTTCGCATGATTCCTTTTTTTGGCGCAGGTTTTGGCGATCGGGACCGATCGACGCTATTTTCACGTGATTTCATGATACTTCCACGGGGTGACCGAGATCCATCGAAGCTTTGCTGTGGAGATCGCGATTTGTCAATGGATCCTCGAGGAGACTTTGACTGATCGAAGCTTCCCCGAGGAGATCTATGTAACGTTTTCGTTTGCTTCAGACTGGATTTGTTAGGAGATTTGCAAACGATGACTTTAGTAACGCGATCTCTATCTGGTGACGTGTGATCGACTGATCTATTAGGAGACCTATCTCTATTGATGCTACTGCCGCTACAGGAACGAATGACCTTAATCCTCTTCTCTGGTGCCGGGGTAGACGTCTTTCGTTCTGGTGATGATTTGAGAGACTGCGATTCTTGCTTACCTAGATCCTTTGCCATAGTCATGGGTTGGTACTGGGCGGGCTGATGTGAGGACTGGATGAGGCGAGCCTGACTGCCTGTGCTGCCTGCACTCAGCGTCGACGTCGTGCTGTAACACAACGACGCTTACATGTAGTGGTAGTAGTACTTAACAAAATGTTAAACAGTATAGTTAGCATAGTGGATGGGCAACTGGCTGCTTTGGAAAGTGTCTGACTTTTTTGTTGTGTGTGACTATCTTGTATCGGGTCTTGGAACAGGACACGACCCACGATATAGGAGTAAAGTTTTTTTAACTAGTGTGAGAGCAATGTTTTTTTTGTGTATAGAGGAAAGTGGTAGCTGGTATGGATATGTAGGCCTGTAAATGTTGAGCGTGTAGCATCTCGTACCTGAGCGTGAGATGGTTGGGCGTGCGGCCGAGCCCGCGCTTGGCGGGCGGCGGCGGCTGCTCGTCCTCGCCCTCGGACTTGCAGCCGGGGTCGCACTTGTCCGCCTCGGCCGGCGGCGGCGGCGGCGGCGGCGGCGGCGCGCGCTTTGCTACCGTCTCTGTTAGTCACGACAAGCGTTACGGTTGCACTCATGCTATTTAGTTGCTATTAGATGCTAGTAGCTAAGGTTACTATATTAAATTTTCTTATTTATCTAAAACACCTGTTACTTTTTGTTTAAGTATTAGAAATCCAATTCTATATAGGTATATATTACTTCTTCTTGCAATTTTATTAAAATACATGGTAAAGAAAAATATTAGATATGTTATAAAGTCAAAGTTAAAATCATTTATTGCAACTAAACCATTAACAGGTACTTCTAAAACATAAAACTTGTACTAACCAGTAGTATCACCCAGGGTCTTGCTGCGATGCCTGAAGGCAGGCTCTTCGGGCGGAGGCTCTGGTGGAGGTTCCTCTGCATCCTGAGAATTCTCACGTGACAAGTCACCCACCTGTTAACAATTACATTTAGCGTTTACTTAAACTTAAAAATGATACTTAAATTTAATGAAAAAATGCCTGAATTGTTAAAAATTCGGGCATTTTTTACTTATTAATAAATATAATTCAATCATACGTGCCTCAATGTTTCCGGCCGATAACCGTTGTCCAGATGTCTTAGGCTTCTTAGTTTTACCAAGGGTTTGCGATCCTTGCATCACTTGCACCTGTAAAAATATAATGTTAGACTACCAATATAGCTTCAATCATTTACAAAAACTGAATTATTAACGAAATTTCTTTTAAAAATACTTTCACTATATATGGAGAACTTTGTTACAATATGAAACACATATTGTGTATTTTATAACCCATGTTTGCAAGTTAATAAATGATTTATTTTGAAAATTGTTTAAGAAGTTCATTAAAATTGGGGCCATTAAAATAAATAAATTAAAAAAGGCCTGTAATTTCTTGCTTTACAAATATGAAAGAAAAAAGTAGGTAAGAAAAAAATATATTAATTGGGGTTATTGGTGTATAGTTATATAAAAGATATTGATTTTATTCTTTGGATGTTGTTACCTGGTGTTTAGGTCTCTCTCGGTCGAGAGTGTGTGGGGCTCGCGGCGGCGCCGGTGCAGGCCGTGACGTCGGCAGTGACATGTTGCGAACCGACTCGCGAATTATCTGCCGAATCGTCTTCAGGAACGCGTTGCGGAAGTCAGCCGTGCTAAGTATTTATAAAATAACATAATTTATCTTAAAATTTGTAATTCATTATCTTAATGTTCGAAGATCAATATATAATATACAATAGCTGAGACAGTTTCGTGGAAACAAACGATTTATAAGTTATATCGTATATTAATAAACATTTGTGAGACATCTTAATAGAATGTCTGAAATATTAATGACAACAATTAAACCGTCAGCCAAACAAGTTTCAAAGCAAATTGATTAAGCAACACGACTAGTCTATCTATCATTAACATTTAAATAGTTTAAAACTAAACTTGGACGGGGATGGAAATCAATCATAGTTTCAAACTCGCACCTGTTAGACAGAACGTAAACTTTCTCGGAGCGGCGTTGCAGTTGGCTTCGTAAATGAATGAGCTCCCAAAGGAAGTGACTGTCCATATCTTTGGCAGAGGAGGCCCGGACCTGTACCTCCGTCACCGGTATCAGAACCTGGTACCTTATGATTTCTACTTCGTTTGAACTATTCTTAGATGAGACACCCTAAAATTTTAAGGTCTTTTTTATTACATGTTTATTTGTTAAGTTAATAATGCTGAAATATACAAAGTTTTTTAAAGGCATTTATTACTATAGTTATTTAGAGAATCAAAAGATCTTGATCGTTGAAGTATGCAGATGAAAAAGTTTACGTACCATAAGTTTTTTCTTCTGCCTCAGTCTTTCTTTACAGAGGAAGACAACAGCTGATTTAAATACAAAGCACATTGCATGCAATTCCAATCCCTTTTTTATTTTTCCTAAAAAGTCTGAAATATTTAACCATTCTACTCCACCGTAGTATAACAAATCGCCTGAAAAACAGATTATCGTTAGAAATTTTCCTACATCCAGACCGAGAATTACTTTCTAAGTAGATATCGCACATACCAGGACTTAGATCTATAGGTTGCTTGCAAGACTTTTGATGTTGTCTAAACAAGTGATCAAATATAGCACCATATTCTTCATGTATTCGTTGCATTTCATTGATGTGCTCTGCAACTTTTTCCATACCTTTCAGAGCCTCTGAAAGTTCACATTTTTTATTAGTATCAAGCGTGACCAGATCGTTTCAATGAACTTTAAATGTCGTCAGATTTAATTAAGACGCGTTGAGGTTAATTAGATGAATTGATGAGCGATCTTTCATTATCAAGATTTGAGTAATTGTAAACGATAAATAATATTGAACACGAAAGAAATGTACTTAATCTGTACCGTAAGAATACAATTACAATTTGTAATAAATTCTAAATGTCAAGTTGCTCACCCACTAAATGGAGATGCTCCTCGGAATTAACATCAGTCAAATTTCTGAGTTGTTGAAGTAAAAGTGGATATTTTAATATCCGTTGAATAGGTTTTATTAAGTACGACTCCAACGTTGATGAGTGTTGCTGTTTTGGATTTCGAGCCGCAAGAAACTCTTGTAAAGCTTGATTACCTTCATCTACAAGAGGACACGAATTATTAATCACGTCTTACACGCGGAACATTTAAAATTACGTTTATATTCGGAAGACACGTTCACTTACTTGGATGTAGCACTTTTTGAGCCTTACTGTGACTGGCACAGAATGAACTGTACAATTTGAAATGGTTGACGTAATAGAGGAAAGCATTTCCTACCGCGAAGAGAGCATTCTGTAGAAAAATATATCGTTAGAGAAAATGAACTGTTGTACAAGAGGTTAATATTATTATTAATGAGATGGTGATTTTGTACCTTGAACTGGTTTGAGAATTCAAAGTGGTGGAAGTTAGGTTCAGCCTCAAGCGCTTCCTCTAAGTTTTGCAGGAATTGTCTTTGGAAAGTCACTATCTCCTGTATATTGCCGAACAAAGCGTTGATCTCGGCGTTTGATAAAAAAGTTTCTTTCTTGAGCGGTTCCAGGTAGTTTTCCAGTAAGTTGTTCAGGTGCTAGAAGTAACAATGTTAGATGTTATGTTCTTCTTGTGTTTGCCTTTGTAATTCTACTCAGTCTTGTGTTACAGCATTACAATTTTGAATTTCTAAGATATGCATTAAGTTTCTACAATATTAGATTTATGTAACTAGTCTGTGATATAGTATTTGTATAGGGTTTGCTGCAGTAATTAGTGCTTTGATATTGAAGATCCTTGATGCGTAGAGAAATTAGTAATAAGATGCCTACATATTCGTATCGGATTAAGCAAAGGTATATCTTATATAGATATTGTATTGTAAACCCAGATTTATGCTTCGAAAAGCCACAGCCAACATCTGAGAAGGCTAACATTGGATGGATGGGTCAAAAGTCAAATGCGGAAAGCAGTACTTCCAGACACGGCGCTTGTGGTCCACAGATACCTTTATTTTGGAGCGCTGACCATCGGCGCTTATTATATCTTATTTATTATTACTATTATCTCTTTAATGTATTAAATATGTAGAAAGTATATAATAAAAATCAACAAAGTTTAATAAAAAGAGAATAATAAATATCTAGGAAATTGTATGTAGACCTAACTATAAAAATGTACCATGTTTTTTTTAAATTTATAATTTTTACTTACTGCACCCATAATTTCAAACTAGATTCTTTTTAGTACGAAAGTAAAAATAAAATTGATCATTTTAATGTCTTTACTTTTTCTTTTGCCTTATCTATTATTTATATAAGCCTCTTTTGTAGTTAAAAAGTTTTTATGAAGACAACGCAGTTCTAAATGTAAGTTAACCCCATTTAGGATTTATTTAAAAGTAACTTTTTAATCGTGAACCGGTAGTTATATCGTTGAGCAGGTGCGGCCAGGGTAGTCAAGTTTTAAATACGTTTTATAAATCCATCAAAACTTTTCGTTTCGAATGAATATTTATACGGAAGATGACTTTTTACTATTACTTTATCTTTCAGTCTGTTTATCTGAATCTGTAGATTGGATCGCGTAGCAGTTGGTTTGAGGAATCGTAACAAGCGTTTATTAAGTTAAGAAGCTGCCGCCTACCCGCAGCCCGAGTTATTTTAGTTCCGATTGAACTACCGGCAACTAGTCGCGAATGTGTTTCGAAGTTGTTCTCTAGATGTTGTATAGATAACTACTTGACGACTCAACGTGGTTAACTAGAATTAGAACCAGACGATAGACATCTAGAGCATTGCAGTATTACCTAATTACCTAGTGTTATAGTGATTAAATATGTTATATTGTTGTGTGATTATACCTGGGACAAAGGTTTGCATTCATGTTTGATGAACAATATATAATTGTGAGCAGTTTTACGGTTAAGATTTTTACTTTTATTAGATACTTTTTGTTATGATAACTCGTAATACAGCCAAAACCATAATAATAACACAGTTAAATAATAGTGTGTATTTTTCAAAATATGTGTTTTACGTAGGTTTTAGAAATCTTACCTTGACATAAGCGCGTTCAGTATCGACCAGTTCCAACAGAACCTTCCTGAGCTTATCAGCATCGGAAAGATGTCGCGAGGGCGTGCCGGCTGCAGCGCTGGCAACACTGCCGGTCGGACTGCCACGTCGTGTCTCCGCCGGTGATCGACACCAGCCCGTCACTTGCTCCGCACTCTATACGATTTTTAAAATAAAATGTTTATTTTGGAATAGCTTTCTATCCTCCACGTCTCTTCGCTCATGTGGAAGAATTTACTCTATAGCATGTAGTCTAGTACCTACTACTGGTACTGCGGCGAAGCCTAGCAGAAGTTTGTATTGTATATGTTCAACTCTGCCCAAACATTCGGGGGTTAAAAGGTGTGATGTGTATCATGCATAATGGCATATTGAGCCAATAACAAGAGTTGATAAAATACGTGTTTTTAATAACATGTTGCTCAGTATTATGATATTACGAAGTACTTAATTTAAAAAAAAAAGGTTGGTGGATTACGGAGTTATATTATAAAGAGTCACTTCCAGCTTTGATAAAATCAATAGATATACCTATAATTCGTAAAGTTAGAGGAAGGGATATAATAGGGGACGCTGGCGGAATCTCTAGAGACGATTATTATTTTCGAGAGAGACATTACCATGCGGGTACGCTAACGAAATAAAACGGGAATATTCTCCAAGAGCTAGATAATTGAATCGGGGATTAAGTCGCAGAGGCGTGCATGTGACGAGCGTTGTAATGTAATTTTTTGTTATTTTGTAACGTACCTTGAGTAGATTTTCGATTTCGAACGAGTTTGTCCGGGAGCTGACTTTGGGTGGGCCGGTGTTGACGGCGTCGCCGCCATGTGCGTCCGTGTCCGGGCTGTACAACTCCTTACCTGCACGGCAACGTAGCATCAATTATACAAACCATTTTATTAAAACCCGTTAAAAGTATGAACATTATTTATCTCTACTCAAATCATTTGGTGTTTGAACAATGAGGGACAAATTCAAATCTCCTTGTCATCGTTCATCTACGTATCAAGAACATCTAATTACATAACAAGACACAACGGTTTATCATTTTCAAAACTCATTATTGTTACAGGTATGTAAATCACAGCTGGCAGGCGTATCTATAACAAACGAAGAAATTGCAAAAGTTTTATGAATATCCATCATTCAAGTAGATGGTAAACATAAGGTATACAAGAAGGTAGCATTACCTCGGCATGATAAATACGGAAGAATTTATTGTCGAGTCGGCAACGACGGAGTTTTATTGTATTCTAAACCAAAATTTTAATGTTCACGTAAGAGTTTTCCCAGAAATCAAGATTGAATAGCTCATATTATATATACGTGCCCTTATTTTACCTTTTCTTTATAAAGGTTGCTATATTAAATCATATCCTTTATCTCTTTGAGATATTTGAATCTGCTCGATATGTAAGCTGTAAAAATATGTCCTTAGAGGTAGATACATCTACATACTCACACATTATTATATATTCCAGTCAATATAATACTAACGATCTCTCCACAAATCCTCTTTTAATACGAAAAGATTAAGAAATGTGAAATCAAAATGTTCAATAAAACTGGTTTGAAAAGAGATGCTCAGATTTCAATAACATGAGAGGAAATTACACTGTTCGTGATGAAACTTTCATGTAAAGGCCGCTTTATGACAAGAAGTCACACAATGAGTTTTTGGCCGCGGTAAGTCAACATCGGGCACAGGCAAATAGCCGTAGGCGAGGTCGTGGCCTTTATTTAGAATACCAGTATTTTTGTTGCAGAATTAGCACAACAACCTGAGCTTCTATTTTTATCTCTCATTGCATTGTGAATTTAATGAAGAACTGCATTCGCAAAATTTTAAATTTTACTCTGCCTTTTGTTTCATAAGCCTAATGAACGCCTAGGTATATTTATGAACAAACCAAGTTAAATAGGCTTCTTCATCTTCTATCATAATATCAGAAATAACGCGAATAATACAGCTGGACACAGGTCTCCTCAACGACTTCCACGTACTTATTGAAAACAAATAGGTGCCTATTAAAACAAAAATGTGAAAATAAATCATTGTCGAATTTCCGCTTTACTGCAAAAAAATAAGAACTATTTTTCTGTCTACATGTCCATTAACTCAGAAAAGTAGTTTCATTAGTGGAGAATGTCGTGATAAATAATGTGTTTGCGATAGTGAAAGCCTTCCATTGTTACAACTAGCCCCGATTCCAAGTCAGCCGCGTCAAGCCGCACTTCGGTACTTACTCGTACGTATATAGTTGTCATAAAACAAACAACAAGTACACGTCGAGTCAATATGTCGTTATAATTGCCTCTTATACAGCTAAGGCTCGATCCGTGAAATAAATTACTGCAAACCTAATAGGGGCAGCAATTTCGGATCGGTAACTTTAAATAATGACCAAGCACGGTATAAACGCCTCGAGTCAGAAACAGGGATGAAAAAAGGGTGGAAAAAATTCGTAAGGAAATAATAATTCTCAATTTACTTCTTTTATAAGGAAAACCAGGCTTGCAGGGTTTCTTCGAATGAATTAAATTTAAAATATACCCCAAACAAATAGCTGCCTTTTGGTGGATTAAAATTGCCGCTTTTTGTTAAGGAGATTTAAAATAAGACTTTGGTAGATTATAATATATGTATATATTTGTTAGCATATTTTTTGGTTACCTCACAATCATCATTTCAAGAAGTTATGATTACGTAAAAACAGTAGGTACTGTTCAAAACTTAAAACACATCATGACGAGCGAGCGAAACGTTCAATAAGTGTGCTAGGTAGGTACTGGCATACCTTCCATTTGCTGAGCCCTGTTGAGCCTTGTTTGCTTCAACTACAGTGCTATCGTATCGCATTCTGATTGTGGCTCTCTGAACCCCTGATGATCGTGTATACAGTAAACAAAGCTTTCGCATAACTTGCATACACATAAATAACGGCAATAAGCAGCATCGCGCGAGTTGTAACGATGATCGATAAATAATCCGCATAGTATGATAGTACGTTGCTATGCACAGAGCATTACTGGCTGACGGCCACAATTCGAAAATGAAGATTCAGTGTGGTTCCGAAACGATGCCAAGTATTACGTAAAAGGAAATATTGAAGAGTTGCTTGTTAGGCGCTATTACACAACAAACAAACAGATATACCAATAGCGTGATTATTTAATATATTTATTACGTCCATGCTTTTATGCTGATAGAAACTTTATGTTCGCATACGTATTCATTTCAACAATGAATGACGTAGAGAAAAAAATTAAATTAATGCAAGTCTACGTCATGAATATATTCCTAAAAAGTATGTAGCTTTGACCCGGAAAATAAAAATAATCATAAATATGGCGTTCCAACGATTATATTATTGTAAATGGACTGCAAATAAAACAAAAATGTATCGCACTATAAATTGCCTCGTCACCTTTCCGGGTCGTCTGAAAACCCTAATGAAACTTGTATATAATGTGTACCTCAATGTTTTACTGAGTCATTCTCTATTAACCATTTTTTGAATGGTTGTCCGACATAAAAGGTACCAGGCTACTTTGAAAACCCACTGATTGAGGGGTGATAGGATAATGGGGAAAGGATCGGTAAGTGTCACCTATAAAACAGGTGAAATAATTAAAATGATTGATATATTAAAGTAAATGATATGGTTTGGTACTCACTCCAAGCTGGTGCGGGCACGATGAGGCCGGATATCATGTCATCGGAGATGACTGGCGGCTCGCTTGGTGGCGGCGGGCACACGAGGGAATCGATTATGTCGTCGGTGGCTGCGCGCATCACTCCTGTCAACTCAGGCGGCTCCGTGCGAGATGACCTGCGTATAAATCGCTGCTCAAACCGCTATCTAAATAGCAATCCGTTTCCGAACGATAAAATTGATTCGATTTACAGAAACAACACGTGATGTGTTTACTTTGGGCTGTATACTATCAACTCGGAATTTGAAAAGAACCAGAACAAAACGCTAACATAAAAGATAATATTGTAGTAGGATTCATTCATCTCCAGCGTCGAGATAATCAAAATAAAACGAGAACGATTTACTTCTTTTCTGATGGAAACATAAAATGCTCAATAATTATGAAAGAAACGCTACCATCAAATGGAAATGGGATCGGAAACGGCTTTTGTTAAGAATCCGTGAGGTAAAATTCAACCTTCAACTTTTAATCATTCAAGTCAGACTGAAGCGATCTTATTGGTAGATTTTGTTTGACTAGAACTTTAGATTTAGAGACGTTGTCTTTCTAATGTAAGTTACGTAATTCTTTCATAATTCGCATAAACTTTAGCAGGTTTAACAAGACAATAAAGCGACCGCCTTAAAGCCGGAAAGGCTTTATATGAACGGGAAGATGAAACAACTCGCAACAATAATAATATCGTGTCCCGAGTGCTTGTTTCGAGATGACATTTGTTGGGGAGCATTATTTCACGCGGTACGGGTGCGGTAGCGTCGAGAGGCTCAATTGCGGTCGTTCACAATAGCTGCGGCACGGTGGCGCGGTGACGCGGTGACGAGGCGCCGGGAGCGGCTGCGAGCCAGGTGGAGGCCGGCGCAGGGCTGCAGGCGGCCGACTATGTAGGTCGCACCGAGCGCTTCAGTAAACTTGTCGTGGCCGCGAAAGGTCAGGTGTATGAGGGCGGGAAATGCCGATGAACAGACCTTCCACCCTACCCCGGCTGCGCGCTCTTTAACTTCCGTTTTATTAGGTGCTAGGCGCCCGCTTTCCTGTTTGTCAGTGGTACTTCGAACCTCGCTAAATGGGAACGCTGTTCGACCTTTTTATATTAAGAAATATTCTCGCTTCTGTCTGCTATGAATTATTCTATTTTAACGAGCGTTCGTAGCCGGGTTCGTCGATTAATGAACACAAGCTGTTTCTATTATTTGTTGATTTGTATTCAGCATTTAATGAAGTAAAAATGTAAACAGTTCAAATACCTCATCATCATGACGAGAGAGAGTTCTTCTTGCAAAACGCTTTCCAGGTACATCATATCTAGGTCAGATACGATCGCTCCGTTGATTACCATTATTTCATCGCCTTTGATTATACCTGACAGAAAAATGAAAAAGAACTGTACTGGGAATGATTGTTCTTATTTTTACTCATCAGGACAAAAACGAAGGCAACAAATTAAAATACAATAATTTTACCTTGCTAACAGAAGTTACAATGTTGTAGACCATGTAGGTATAATGTTTTGGTATGTCGAGTTATTGTAATTTGTGGTTTTTTCAAGTAGAATTTAATTTACATGAACCTTATGTAGCAATATAACAGCAGCTTAGTTACTGTGTAACATAAAAATCAAATGTAGAATTTTCATCGTAAGGAATATTATAGTGTTTTAGTAAAAACTGTTGGAATATAAAAACTTGAAAGAAATGGAAGCGCTAGGGATGGAAATATAAAGTTGAACGATGATAAATTACCATTTTGCATGGCGACGCTCTTGTCTTCAACTCGGCTCACGTAGCAGCAGAGCTCGTCTTGTCGCTCCGCGTTCTCAATGAGTTCGGCTTCTACGCTGAAGCCCCACATTTGCTCCAACGTCGTTCGTTGTAATTCTACTTGATACAGGATTTTGGCACACACCTCCACAACCTCGTGTGTGTGTAACTATTGACAAGTAATATTTTAAATTAGATTTCTTAACCCCTCTACGTTATTTCGATGCTTTTTACCGTTGAGCCTTTTAGTCCAAACTTAGTCAAAATGTATTAGAAGGTTGGCCTTTACTTAGTTTAGATTTTAATATGACAAAGGCAGTGTTAATAAATTTTCTAGCTTAGTGGTAGTTTAGAGTGGGTTAAACAAATAGGGAGTGAGTAGTAGATGTAAATATTAGGTACAGTTGTGTGTATTTTGTAGTCAAAGTGACAACCCGTCCACATGGAGCACGGTCCGAAAATTGATGACGGGCAGGCTCGTGGGACCCAAGAGATAATTAGGCATGGGTATTATATGTGAGTATGTATGCACTAAATGTAACTTTGAATACCTACATTGTTTTCGTGCCGAGAAACGACGAATATATTAATTCATTTGTGTAAATTTACATTTTCCTTCTCTTAATAACTTTTGCAAAATTTTGTGACTTTTGCATTGTTTGTTTGTAGAGCACGTGCCTACTTATTATAATTTATTCACTTGAAAGTATTTAATTGTAGGGTTCTGCTTTCATTATGAGTTTTTAAGTCATTAATCTTTATAAGATGTCCTGTCGTCCCCTTTACTTGCGTTTAGTTCTATATAATTATATTTTAAATAAAAAAGTTACGAATTCTAATTTATTTTCGAATGTAAAAAAGTAGGGGTTTATGTATATGTATAAAACAAAGTTAAAATTTTATCAGAAACAACTTACAATTCTGCGAGTATTGTTGAGCTCTCTTTTACCTCACACTCAAAGGATTATGAGATCTTTTCACAAATGAAATTCATTTGAACAACATACGAAATGGGATTTAACTTCGTCATATGCATTCCGCATTCGTTGATCCTAAAGTAACAGTAATATAACTTTTTGATAACCTTTCCACGCTGTGTCGCGCAAAGCCTGTGACGGAATGGGCCCTGTCAGACCCTACTCACGTCAACCTCGGTCACAAAACATTTTATATTTTTATTTCCACATGCATGAATGCGCGGTATACAAGTAAATTAAAAGTAATCCCGCAATTATGTTAAGATAACACTATCATGATTTGAAATGAGAAAACGTCGCCAATCTCTGAATGTATCTTGCAGCTTTTTGTAGGTATATACTCGTACAATTTAGGTTCGCTGCGAAATTTCAAATAGAGAAGATTTTATTTTTGTGCTTGTTTGCTTTTTGGTTGATTATATCTTTAGATTGGATGCAGAATTATTTAATTAAAAAGAGTTATTTAGGTAACAAATTATTTCTTGTATTTTTGAAATATCCAGAATTGAAAGTTGTTAAAAACGATTTTATACTCACGTAGGTTTCAATGAGGTCGCTGCGATGGGGAACGAAATAGTTGTGATCTTCCATATCACGCCTTTTCTTTACTCTTACAAAGTGTTCGAGAGCATTGAGTGAGCGTCGTGCGCATGCAGCAGCTAGGAACTCTTCAACAGACATGCCCTCACGCACTCCCACTGTAGCGGTTGTACCTTCAGGGAGGGATACTCGAACGGCTGCCTCACCATCCTCACGAGACATCTAACACCAAATTATTTAGGATTGATTTCTGATACTATTGGTAATAGTCTCCATCTCTCTGATTCCGTCTTTTTCTGTATTTGGTCATTAAATTGATTGTATTTTTTCAATCATCATTGATAATTTACTGATCTAATTTAATTTATCTATGTTAAAGTTTGAAATAGTTTTACAATAGATTTGATGACACAACCCAGAACAAACGACGTGACTAAACCGAATCACACTTGAAAGCAAATCCTTATTCCAAATTAAATTATAGCGAGTCAGAGCAAATCTCGAGCTCTGCCGTCACTTCTATTCAAATAGCCCCCAAGCTAGGGTTGGATTGGGCCTATAAAAGTTTTGTTTTGATAGGTACGTATATAAATTAGAATAACAAAATTATATTATTTTGTGATAAACTTTGCTTAACTTACGAAACTGAATAATTTAGCCGATAAACAAATGAATAAAGTTCCTTTACACTCGTAAAAGTTACCTCCCAGGTTGACATTTTAAAATAAGTAAATTTTTATGTACTCGAGTCCAAATTATTTTTTCACAATTACGACAATTACCTAACTGGTGGTAGGCTATCTACATAAATTATGTGGTTTATATTTTCCACAAATCAAGTTTTAAGCATAAATAGTAATTTCCATTCAGCTCGCAAATAATTAAGCTGTTGGTTCAGATTGCTGAAACAACAACATTAAGTAATGAGGCAGTAAGAGTCGAGCAGTTTGCCTCAAGTAATAGTCTTTTTTCGTGACGTTCTATATTACGATCTCGCCAAGGATTAGGGGACACGCCACATCGGCATTTCCAATTCGGAAGCTTTGTTGTGGCTTTTATGTTCTTACTTTATGAGATAACGTAGTAGATAAGACATTTTGTTAGTGTATCAAAATATATTCGCTAAGTCACTAGAGTACTCTTGCTTTTTATTTACCAGATAGTGCTTACAAGCCTTTATGCATAACAGATGAGAATTGATGTCCCTTAAATCAAGTTATTTCTTGGGAACGTCGGCACAAATTACTAATCAACGTGACCTATTTAAAATACAGGGCGGATTTTTGAGACGCGACAGTAGAGGCAGCTACTTTAATCGTTGCTGGTAAATATTAACGAGAATCTGCTTTTTCTTTTGCTATTTCGATGAAAATATCCAGTTTTTAAAGTTGCACGAACTGTATATGTTGTCAACCAAAAGAGTTGCCTAAATTTAGGATCGGTTTCACACTGTTTGGATACTCACTATTTACTATACAAATATGAATATAGAACATATTTTGTATAAACAATCTACTGCAAATAACTGGACACTTATGGTGATAAATAAGGCTCTAAGTGCCACCGCCTTCTTATATGTTCATATGGCATATGGCCTGTTCAGATAATTTTTATTTCATTGTTAAATTAAACTATTGTCCAATCAAACCCTTACAACAAGAGACTTTTTTCTCGTTTAGCACTGATGATATAACTATACAGTACTAAAAGGTGCAAGCAATGTGCACGTACGTTTTATACGCTCCGTGCTCTTCTATAGCTATTAAACAGAGTAAATGATTACGAAAGCACATTTGCTATACATGTGCCTTTATATGGAACACGTTTGTACACTTCCGAATGACTCAGCTACCTAAGGGAAAAGCGCTCACGTATATTACTTACGGCCGTTTTCAGCAATACAACCGCTTTTATAACTCTTCAGTATTTATATCGCAAATTCCACTGAGTCCCATTCGTTACATATAAAAGTTAATACATTATCAATACAAAAGTGATTTTCAGAGAACTATAGCACCGTTCGTGAATTCTATTTAATAAACACCTTTTTGTAAGATTTATTACAAGATGTTCTTAGTTCAAGAGCATTTCAGTCTAAGAAATGTAAATCAAACTAAAAGGAAATACAACATAAACACAAGATTTCATTGCATTATCAAGATTGCGGTGGATTGCGTTGAAAGAACCGTACTAAAGGTTTAGTCGTAGCCGCTATAGACTGCTACGCGGCTACGTAGCCAATCTCGTAGCAATCCACAAGAGTTGATTATTTCTCCTTGCTTTTGTTTTAATCAGAATAGGTATTTTATAATTGCTTGCATTTTATGTGCTTATTAACTTGACCTGTATGTAATTGTAAATAGAATTTAAAACATGTTTTTGCTTTATAGGTACATTTATGAAAATATATACTATCACTTACCTGCATAGATCGCCTGCTAGATCCGGAGTTAGATCGCGACAGTTGAGGAGCACGCCGCTTAGTAGCTCCACGTCCAGCCAGTAAGTTATTTAGCAGCGATGGTGACCGCGCACATATGAACGCGTGGAAAGATGACACCGTGAACACGCCTAACTTGTTCAAAGTGCTCTTTGTGCCACGCGACACGTGGGTCAGCAGAGACTAAAACAAACATTTACATAAGTGACCAACTCAACATGTTACTACAATTAAATAAAGTAACCACATGACTTAATATTTATAAAAGGAAAAATCAGGCAGAGTAATACGAGTATATCCTCAATATTAAGAAAATAATGCCGGTCTTGCAGGTTCCATTATTCTATCTACGAAATACCTTTTGCTCATCACATATTTATATAAATATTTGATCCTTAAAAGGATATTGATATATCCGTTAATCAAACCCATTTCTGTGCAAAATTGTAAGCAACTTTTATTATTCGCATGTTGGGGACCATTATGACGTCCCGTGACATGGGTCGCGGCGTAACAGATTCCAACCCCGTTCCCCCGGTCAACGGAACTGTCAATTTGATAGCGAAGCCAACAAATTTCCTTTCTCTGTCACCTCGATGAAATCACTTGACAATTTCAACACCCCTCTCTTGTCTTATTATCGGGTGATAAATTACGATCAGCGCGTTGTTTTCGTCATAATATTAGGAAAACATAATTATTAAAGACCAGTGAGTTGGCAGGAAAAATCCAATGGATATGATTCATTGAACTTGGTTTTGCATGACGTATAGGGTCCGAGGTAATAAATAAAGTCAGTTTTATCAAAGTTTTTTATATTCAATAAAGAACAGTTGCGAATCGCAAGAGTGAATCCAAACTACTGCCCCGGATAAAGTTGTCGTGGTCCAACACCGAATAAAAAGTTATGAAGATTTTACTGCTTCATTAGGTAAGGTCATTTTCGGAGGAAAAACCGGTAAATTGAATTTAGTAGAACATTTACCTTGGGGTTAGGAAGTTCGCCACTCTGAAGGCTTGCCATGTAACAGCGCAATCGGAATTGCTCACAATGTAGGCGTTCAAGATTTTCTTCCCACTGCAGCATTTGAACAGCCAGTTGCGCACGTGTCTCGGGATCAGAGACCACTGATTGTTGCAGGTCCGCCATATGCTTTAGCTTATGATCCTGTAATTGTTAAGAGCGTTACTTATGCAAAAAATGTGTTACTTGCGGACAACTTGGTTTAAGTTAAGTATTCATGTAACATAATTTGAATAGTCCGAGCGCGGTCCTCGAACTCGCGCCTGAGGATGACGTGTGCTATGAATATTAACAAGCGCGTGCTCCCACCTGCCTGTGATAACTATCACAGTGATAAAATAGATTGTTTCCAACAACAAGCATGTGTTCCCGACCTCAATTACGGTATCTATTTTGAATATTTTGCAACAAAAGAAGTCATTTGAAATTCATAAAGCTATAAAACTTTGTGGCTTGTAATTAAGATAGCAAATTACATTTGGTTACATATGATTCTTTAGTATGATATAATGGTGTTGAATCCCACTTTTAAAGTTAATCGCTGAGTCAGCTTAATTTAATTTCCTGTTGCTTTTGATCTTATCGCAGTGAATGCATTGCTCAACACTGCAAACAGACATTCGATTCGTATTTGCTTCATTTCCGTTACAGTTAATCGAAAACACGTCAGACAGAGCATATTCTCGTGTGGTAAGTATGTAGTAGTATGAGGTGGCCACAAAGGCTTTGATGCGTGCTGCGGTCACCCGGTGCGGGTCAGAAATTGGCGCGATTTACACGAGGAACGTTTCAAACCGCACGCCGCCGACTCTGTCCGGAGCTCACATATGTATTCAGATAATACATAATATCACTAGTACCTAACCTGACTGGAGAGAAGCTTGCTAGTGACATAGTGTCGTGATGCCATCTTATAATTTCGTTGGATTAGTGTTGTGTAACTAGTATAGTTCTGTTAACTTATTAATTTTATACACTAAACAACGATTAGCAATTAACCCTTGATGTTCGTTATTTTGACTACTATTTTGTTTACAGTATAATATGTATAAGCTACGTAGATATATAGTTTGCTAATACGTATCACGTTGTAACATAAATTTAACCCACCTTTCACAAACCTGTTATATTATTTTGTCACTACGAGTTCGTATCACCAAGCGCACGACACGGAATTTACCATTCATCTAACGCTCACATAATGGAAGCGAGGTGAGCCATTTGAAATTAGGTTTTACGTTTGTGTGTTTAAGGTGCCGCAGGAAATCGTCCAACGAAAGTAGATTTATGTTAGTCAAACAATGATTTGTTTGTTTAGGTCATACAATGCGCAGTTTGGGCTGGCCGGTGCATAATTTCTCAGCGAGATTATGACGACTTTGGGCTTCAGCATATTTTTTATTTGTTTAGCTGTGAATTTACTAACTTAAAGTTTAACTATAAAATAGAACCTGATAATATTGCTGTAAAATGACCTACATTTACTGTGAAAATTATTATACAGTTTTACAAAACAATACTATACAATATTCAACAAACACAATATTTATGTAACAAAACATTTACAGCCTTAAATACATCTGAAGATTAACACTAGGAAAATTAATGTGAATTGTCTTTACTTACAGATTCGATTGCCTTCTCGAGACGGTATATTTCCTCTTGCAGTAAATGAAGAGTTCCAGTCTTGCCTCGGTGACGAGCGAATGCAGCTGCACAGGCACTGTGTATGCTATTCACCCAATTTTCGAGCTCAATCTACAAGGTACCATTATAATTTTAAAATCAAAAATAATTTATATTTTATTATATCTACTTGATTGGGCGTTGATTTGATTTGAATGAAATTATCAGTATCTGATTACCTACGCAAAAAAATCATTGATAATTTATTTAAAAGCTTTGTTTTTGATTTCATATCTCATCGGGTAGTTCCACTAGATTAGTGTGGGTAGACACAAAGGAAGAGCGACAAACGACGTGAAAGAAAAAAGGGGGTTATGAAGTGTGATTACATCTGATATGGCTGGGGAGAACGGTAGAGAAAGGCGTAATGCAGGAAAATGAGGATGATCGGTGAGTGATTTTGAATGGAATGATTACATGAACTTACCTGACAAGGTGCTTGGAACAAGTAGGCGTCACCAAATGCGGTGCTGAGACAAAATATGTAGTCACGTTTTGGGTGCTCTGGTATCGGCTGCATGATGGCTCCATCAACTATGATTAAATGCTTGGGAGCAGCTTCCACAGAGCGGCCTTCACGGGAATCACAAGGATAGAAAAGCAGTGTAGTGCCCTTCAAGCACACCCAGTAACCCTTCCAACCACGTTTGCGGGCTAATTCAATCTGATGCTTCTTACGGAGGAGCCATTTCTTCACGCTCAAGAACCTAAAACAAAATGTATTTTTATGTCACATCGATGAATAGTTCAAGTAATAACATTTGAATTGATCTTAAAATTACGTGTCTGTAATTAGATAGTTATTATGATACGTATAATTCGGTAAAATTAACCGGTATCAGTAGGCAGGTAGTCAAACTTCATCATAGTAAATTTCGTGGCTTACGGTTCGAAGTTTGTTATTTAGTTTGCTGGTGACGTGAAATATAGAACTATTAGTTACAGTTGTTGAGTTAATTGAACCGATTTTCATAATCAATGAATTAGTATCTGTATTCTCAACTCAGCAGAATTACTTATTACTAAAAATTAAAAATTATAATAAGAAATATTTCGATTTTGGAATGTCAAATAGGTTCAAAATAGTATTGTGGGTTATATTGAATTGATACTGATGATGAACAATTATAAATAATTAGAAAAAGGTGTAAGTAGGTAAAACGAATACGACGTCAAATAGACTCGACACTAATGCTATTAATTTCATGATTTTTTCCGCAAGGGCGTTACACTACCTCGTTGTCAGTCATTTGTTTTATTAATGAACCATCATCACACAGAAAGGTTTACTATTTCCAACAATTCATCGGAGTCGGTATAGCAGTTGGAACGTGACGGTCATGATCAAGACAATTTAAGATTCATTTATACATATATGTAGATATAGACGTGTCATTATGTAATCATAGTATAATATTAATAAATGACTATAATGAATAATTTAATTGATTGGTAAATATTTAATGCACACATTCATAAATTCAACAACAAAGAGTTCTGTGAAACGTAAAGTTTTTTTGGTCCTAATGAATATTGACTGAATACTAAATATTTCAGGATGTAGACGACAGTGTAAACGTAAAACTTTTATTATTTAACAAAATATATTTACTTTATACCTACACCTTACAATGACTTTACAATTCAGAAACTTGCAAAATAATAATTGCCATTAATCAACTTATTCACATTTCCTGATAAGCGGGTTTGCTTTCTAATGATCAGAACGTTTCAAGAAAAACAAATTGTTTGTTTCTTCAACAATTCCAAAAAAGACTGCAAACATAACAGTCATTTGTATTTTCTTATCGATCTCCTGATCCTTGTACGGCAGCACAAAGTGTTTTTTGACTAGATTTCGTATTCTGTCTATCGATACACCATGTTTCCGTCTTCCAAGAACTTCCATAGCCCATATAATAACATTGACTGGGGTAGGAATTCGCTTTTCACCTCGATTCTTTGTTACTCTGATGTCAGATCTTACACGGTAAATTGATGAGTCGGAAGAATCAGGTCCCACTTTCACATCCATAGTTATGTTTATAATTTTTCGTTGGTTGTCCTGAGTACATTAAATATTGTTTATAAATGATCATATCATTTTTTTTATTATTAAATAAAATGTGAAATAATTATTATTACTTTATTTTGTTTAGTAAAAGTTTTGACATCATCATTTAAATGGCAGTTATTCTTTTAAGTTGGCAGAATAAGTCACCTTTCAATCGTGCCTTATCCACCAAAGAGGATAATGTGCAAACAAATAATACCAATGGTGAACGCATAAAATAATTACAATATAAAATTATTTATATCTCCACATTGTCTGTGACGCATTTACCATGTCTCTGGTGCTGCAAGTGGTACCTACGTTTACAGCAGACTGTGTTGCTGCTGTATGTAGACACATATATCAAAATAATACAGTCAATAAAGAATAAAAGCTTTCTGCTCATATAAATGTAGGCACAAATCTCTCAATGTTATTCCGGTACATTTCCGAATAACAAATAAAAAAACCAATCAACTGAAGCTTCGGAAATTAATCATGATATTTCGATAGGTACCCAAGAATTATTACCTCTTATAAATATTTATAGAGATGTCGCTCATATCGCAAATAAAATAAAAGTGCTGCGAAATAAGCGTAGCTTATAAACTGTAAATCGAAATTTTGTAACGGTAGGTATGATACAACATTAAAGAAAATTTTAGAAAACGAATTACATTCACAATAGAATTTAATTTGCTACGAAATAAAGGAAAATCAGAATTTATTGAACAAAAAGCTCAATGTCCTGGTCGGATTTGTAAGGATGCTTAGTAGGCAGAACACCATCTTGGCTGCTTAGTATATACGCGTTTACTACGATGAATAGGTCACGGCTAAGATTTCCCTCCGGTCATTTGGAATTCATGGAAGAGGAATTGTAGCCTCGAGGAGCATAAAGGACGCCGTAGGCTTTTCCTAATAGAGACTATGACACTCGACAGAAGGCGCTCGTCACACGATGTCAACTTCCTTTCCTTCGCTTCATATCTCGCGAACATTTATTAAGGCTTCTCGAAAACGACACAAAGGACAGGTATTAATATTAAACCTTTGTTTTGTTCACACGGGCGCTACGGTGCACAATGAAGTGGCGATGTGAGCACACGGTGTGAACGGTGAATACATATCATGTATGTATCACGGTGGATGGAAGTAAAGATAATCATTTGAGTTTCTCAGAAAATCACGGACTAAACGACCAATAATAAAGAGGAAAACGATATTCTCTGCAGACCTAAGCCAAATGACTATAATGATACTTATGGTACATTTGACTTGATAGCCTAGTGAGATTTATTGTAACGGTCGGACTTTGGATATTTTTCACCTTTATGTATGCGTTAACTTCCTACAAGCATTGGTTTAAGAAATTAAAAGTATTTGAGGACAAGATTCATAAACGGCTTTTGATGATGAACTAGGTGTAAATATCGCACACTACTAAAATTGCCAGCTAAAATGTCAGTAATGAAATTGCGGTTCACCTAAATGTAACTACGGTAACGATGTAATAAATTAAGTCATGCATAACATATACATCATGTAACATGTTTATCCACATGTTCGTCGTTTATTGGATTATAAATATTCCTAGACTTAACCAAATAACTCGGGACCGTCTTGAAATATTACCGCTCACAAACTATATCTTCGTTCCCTTAATATTTTATGCAGATTTACATAAATTCGTTACATATATGTATTAATATATCTTATATTGGATATTTCATAAATGGTTTGGTATTTCCGAGCTCAACCTTATAAGCAGTCCGGAGAAATGTGGAGAAAAAGGTTATATTTTAAATGTAAAGATTTTTTATTTAGGTACCCTTTGGGTTCATCCTAATTTATTATTTTATTTTTAGATATTATGGATATTAACATGACATTGACTGCACGGTGGCTGGGCAACTGGATGCCGTGCAACGTGTCGCGGGTTCGATTCCCGCACGGAACAACTCTTTGTGTGATCCACAAATTGTTGTTCCGGGTCTGGGTGTAATGTGCATGTGGAATTGTATGTTTTTAAACGCACCCACGACACAGGAGAAAATCCTAATGTGGGGCAACGTTTTATTCAAAAAAAAAAGATAATTAAAGATGCATATTAATCAAACCTTTAGTTTGACTTGTTTCACTCGAAGTATTGACATACTTCGAGTGAAAGTTAATTTGATTTCAACATTTACAATTTAATCATTCACATCGAGCCAATACAATAGTTCTTCAAAATTCCAGTTTGAACGTATTATATTTACCGGGAGGGGATTATTACGAACGACTTCACATTTTTAATTTACTTTTTTGACTTACAAAAAAATGACATTAATTCGAGTTAACTTTCTATCTACATTTTTTTCATAAATGTTTCTTATCTTTTTAATCTGAAATTGGCACATTCCTTGAATTCCTTTTTATAGGTATTTGATATCAAAATTTACCTAAATTTATAAAGATTTCAAGAAATTTAAGATTATCGTTAATAAAGAACTCGAACCCTAAGTACCTCGATGATCATTTACTTTATTAAATTTGGCACGTGAATATAAATGGGATCACAATTCATAATTAATTAATTGCTTTGTTCAAAAAGGGACGCAGGAGTTATGAGAAAGTAATAAGAAAGATAATTAAGAATGTCATTATTAAGAATTAAGTTAATCTATTTTTTTTAAATTTTAAATAATCTTTCAAGAAAATTAAATCATATTTAAGGTATTCGTCGTTGCGGTAAACTAGTTGCTGGCTCTTTATACTATAAAATGAATCAGAGAAGAAGTAAATCTTGTTACGAATTCTGAAAATGGCGTATTTCATTTAAATCTTTTCAACATTGTTATATAATAACTTACCCAGCTTTCCTGACGGCTCCTGTGCAGTTGAAAGATGCGGCTGCGGCGCCTGTCTGCTTTCCTTTGTAAGGAGAATTCATTGCGCTCTCACCAGGGTCCTCTTCGTCAGATACCGCCGTCGTTAACGACATGCGATCATCATCCGATATCTATATGAAAATAAAATGTTTTATTAATATATCATCATTTAACGACATTATTAAAGTTTTATATTAGTTTGTTACCATTATAGGGTTTAGTTTTCTTTGATCATAATTGAAAATATGTATTATAAAATTAAATTAAATAGTCATTTCAACTAAAGCACTAATAATCTTTCACAAACAAGATAAATAGTTTTAAAACTCAATGCCAAAACATAATTGAAAATAAGGTGTAGCAAAGTCTGCACTGACGTCATTTAAATCTCGCGCAAACAACATAAGTTCAAGCTTGGACACTTTCAACATTTTAGAGTGTAACGCAGTTTTCACCCCCACCACCCCTCGTTTCCACTTTTGAAATTGTTACCTCGCCTCAGATGAAGGCAAGGTGCACAGTGGTGTAAAACCTAGGAACGAGTGCTAAACGAGATTGCTTCAATACTTTTTTACCTTGAAGTTTTAATATACTGTTGTTATTCGTTCTATTTTTAATAATTTATAAGAAAAGTTCAAAGCCTACACGACAAACTTTTTGTTAATTTTCCTTGAGTGAATTTTATTTTATTAATTCAGTTATATTTAAAAGTCTCCGGTTTTATTTTTTGCGGAAAATTTTCGGAAGCAGAAAAATAGTAACTAGGTACATTGTGTATTCGAAATATTGCTAAATAATCGATGTCTGATTGTCGGTCAACAATCAATAGTGATTCTATATTTGTAAGTAGGAACGCAAAGATTTTGATTTGAAGAGGTGGATATGGGACAATGTTTAAAGAGGTGCGTTTTTCATAAGATTTTAGCATTCATACATCTACTTATAATTAAAAGAATACAGTCCAGCAGTTTTCGTAAAAATAAATAATTAATATATTACGTGGTATTGTGTCTTGCGCTTTTGAACATAACATAGTATGCAAGAAAAGAGTTGCTTTGAGGCGCATGCGGACCTCGGTAGCACGCTCTCGGCTCAATGGCTCTTGACGCCGCACAGCGCCCTTGCCACCGCCTTTCACAAAAAGAATACTATGTGCCTCTACATTTTTTATAAAATTTACAATTATTCTGACTTACGTACTTATGTAAAACACTATTAAATGATGAATTTATATCATTAGAATAGTTCATCTATATTTTTTAGATTCATAAAGTAAAGTACAACGAAATAAGGTTTAATAAATTTGAAATCTCCCTCACCGCAAATAAACAGCAAAGCTTGATTTTGTGAGTTGCACAACCGCGTTAATTTAAATTGCATTATAATATGAATTCCTTGGCACCTCAAAGCGCAAGCTTAGTTGTACCTCCCACTACTGGACAACTCGTCTACCTAGATATAATACTTAATTGCGCCTCGCTTAGTTAACTAGGAATCGCAACTCTGGAACAAACTTTAACTTTGGTATAGTTTAACGTAATACCTACATAGTTCAATAATATATCCGTCCGCCGTTTCTCGTTCAAGATAGGTATTGTAATGGCGTTATGAGTATAGCTAAGTTTTTTCTTGTTAGGACTTTTGCTTTGTTACGGCGCGACTGAGAACTTACTATAGATTTAGAAATTCGCCTGTATATTTTAAGTATAAGTTTAGTATTCGTCTATATTTTTAAAATAACTTTAACGTAATAACCACATTGTGTTAGTGTTCAGAAGTTTTTTCTATGTCCTAAAAGATTTTATAATAAGTAACTTGGAAAACTCTCAGAGATATTTGCCAGGCTTTGAGATAGCATACCTGTCGCTAGAAAAATGAGACTCCTTGACGGGCCAATACAATGATAAGTTGATTTATTTTTATTTCAGAACTTATTTACGCTATCTATTTAACAAACGCTTTCTTTGAAAGCAAAAGTACCTACGAATACCTACCTTAATAATTTATAATATCGTTAAAGTTAGTATTTCACAGCATGTAAATTATTTGAATGGGTCATGAAATGGAATAATAAATATATTAGGAATAATAACTATTTCAAGGCTGAAGATCCCATACCACATGCCATCATAAAAAGCACTTAATGGATTACCTCATTATCACAATTTTAAGAATTTTATTACGTACGTTAAAATAGTATATATAGGTACTAACATTATATTCTTTTTACGTAACCAAAGTGGACAAACTATTCGTGTGGAGTAGAAATACAACACTAATTAATGTAAAAGAAAATAGCACCCACAAAGCCTTATATTTCAAATAGAGTAAAGAAAATAAAAGCCCTCATTAGCAAAAGGGAAATTGCAGTTTCCACTAAGAGGAAACTAAAATAAGGTCAAAATGTTAGGTATCTTCAACGTACTTTCTTCTCAGCCCCATTGTAACGGTTTACGTCTTCCAACGCTATTATCTACAATAGTTAGGTACATTTTGAGTTTTACGTTATGCTTTAGACTAGCTTTTATACAGATATTTATTTTATAAGGGACCTCACCTTCCGAAGGAATGCTTCGTTGCAAGTTTGTGCAGTTCCTTTCCAGTGGTAGTGACGAAATCGTACATTTCCAAGTAACCTTGTCCCTCGCAAAATAGACACATCGTACACTATACGCCGAATGTTGAGCACATCAGTGCGTTTCTTATATTTGTTCAGTTTTCGCCTTCGCACCATGCGCTCATCTGGTTCTGAGTATTCACCAGTACTTGTAAGACCTTCTTCGGCTGCCCAGGCACTCAATACGCTTTCTATAAAGCTGAATAACTGCTGCACATTGGGCTCTAACTTACTAGGGATATAGAGATAAGGCGAAACGGTTTTTTTTGGAACAATAGCCTTTTCATCAGGCTCGTCTTCAGGTGGTGGGGCAACGTCATGATAGGGACAATTGTGGATTTTATGGTGATGGTGGTGGTGGTGATGATGTTTAGATTTGCGTTTCGGCTCCTTTGACGCTGAGCTACTACCACCGCTTTCCCCTTTATCTCCAGTTTCGCCACCGCTTGAATGGGAATCTGCACTGCGCTCTCTGCGTGGCTTAGGTCGCCCGCTCGACGTGAGTGCTACAAGAGCTCCTGCGGCTAGACAGCAGTGATGTGCAACACAGCAGAAGCGGGCATCACCTTTGCGAAGCCCTGTATGAGCTTTGTGGCAAAATGAAACATCGGGAACTCTCGCTCCAAGTGCTGCTAAGTGTGCCCGATCAGCGCAAACTTGCATCAATAAATTTTCGCCGAAGTGAACAGTTTTGTGTCGGCGTCGACGGAGGTGCATGACAGTACCACTGCCGGCCAACGAAGGCGGCGCCGAAGCTGAGGCGGGTTTGGTGCGAGACTCGAGCGCGCGCGCACATCGAGGCGGCGGCGCTCGGTGCGTCTCCACCATCATTGGCAAGGAGCGGCGTCAGCGGCCGGCGCGCAAGCGTCACCTCATCACGAGTCTACTCTTCTACTCTGGGTTCACTTACACCCCGATTTTTTATTTCTTATATTGTTATCATGAACATTATTAAATCACTTTACTGTTTGTAAGTCATTTTGAAGGATTTGGTCGCTTTGTTACTGAAACTTTATTTAAATTCAGCACTTTATCTGACGATGTTTAAAGTTTATATACATTTCATATTTCAATAAAAGTACAATTATTCACATTTTTGGGTAAGTTTCATTGAATATGCTAAAATTTTAGAAACAAGAAGTCTTAGTGAGAGGTTATGTGATATGAAGGGCAGTTAGTTAGAAAAACTAATATAAAGCAACTGTACGAAATTGATTGATGTTTTAAATATTGAAAGGCATAAGAGATAATCGGAGTTAAACGGGTCTTTTTTCGTCGGCCCGTATATGAACATATATCACATTTCCAACATTTAATTGTTACAAAAGTATAACAAGTGTTGAGTTGAAGATAGCAGAGATTAAGTTAGATTACTAGTAGTAAATCTATTCAATTAAGGCGAGTACAGGAATTAAAATACATTTCTCGCAAGGAGCGGTCTAGGTATATATGATTTATTTATTAGTGTTAAACTACGGCATTCCAAATAATCTAACTTTATTATCATTTCGTTTTGTTATTAATCAGGTTTTATTGGTAGCTACGAAAGATTTAAAAGAGAACGTGGAAAGCATGGAATGATAAGTAAATAGGTAAGCGTTTATAATAGAAATCCGATAAAACGTTCTGCGTTTGAAGTGGCTTGTTCCCGGCAGAGACGTTAACAAGCTGTCAGAATAATTGTTAACCATATCTTTATATACCATTTTGTGAAATCTTGCGTAGTCAAATTTATTCAAAATTACTGATCGCGCTTTTAAACGCAACATTTTACTACACAATGCTAACATCAATATTTCGTTTCAGCAAACATCTCGTTAAGATATTACTTGGAATGAAACAGTTAATTAACTAAGTTCCCTTTTTTCGAAACTGCGCTGCTGTTATTCTTAACAAAATATAAGTTGGACATATTCACAGCGTCGTAGTGATGAATCTTTTTGTAGTTTGGTAGCGTTTTAATTACGCTAATAGCTGGCGCGAACTTTTCCAAGTGAAGTAGGGCGTGACACACCACAGCAAAGCAACATCCCGTCCGGGCCATGGACTAAGAGTAAGTATATTCCATAAACTGGATTACAAAATACGAACAATTAAAAGATATTATATGTCTTTTAAAAAATACAATAAATACGATGTAGATTCGATCCAAGCACGACAGATCATTGAGAAGAGATCTAAATAAGGTGATTCGTCAACAATGAAAAATGAATATGAAAATTTATTTCAAGTATTACTTACTTTAATTTCTCTGAAAATAATGGTAGTAATATCTACATTGGGTGTTACTAGAACGATGTATAGATTCCATACTGTGACTGAAAAATTATAAAAATAATCTGTCAATATATTTTAATTTACTGTGTAGTCAAGCGACCCTTGGCCTCCCGAGATACGGCCGAGTACAAGACAATAATCCTTGATTAAAATTCTATGGACGCACTGATAATCCGAATTTAGAAAAACCTTACAATAAAACGAAATGAGTAAATCGCTAAGAAAGTTTTGAGTTTACTGTGAAAATTGAACGCTACAAATAGTCAATATGATACAATCTCATTGATATATATCTTACATTAAAAGTTGTTAAACAAATCACTTAAATATAATGCAAAGAGATAAAATAAAGGAATTGAATCTTCAATTGTATCTGATAAATTGCCTTCGTTAAGCCGTTAGATACCTTCTGTTTGCTATTTTTGTTATTACTGAATCCATTAAAGGAAAAAGTTTTTGAATAATTGATAGACAAAGCTTTCGATGGAGAACCATCTTGCTTTAATATTAATATCTCGTGTTGTCATTGAAGAAAATTAAACAGTGACAGAATCGTTCCGTCTGATAGTTTTTTATTCTTCGTAACTTATTTTGTAGTTCATATATAAATTGGCAAAGTAATAAATTATGGAATGGTAAGTAGGAATAAAAGAAATCAAATATCGCAAACAGGTAGTTATCGTTAAGTGGGGAAAACTCATAAATATGAAACGTCGTCGACAATACTGGAAGTCGAAATACCAACCCGGCATCGACAATACCGCAAATCGTATCTAGCGCTTGCATTACCTTTCAACTCGAGCGCGATATGAAATGTTGGAAATGGAAAATGTCATGTTTTATTGAATCTTCTTTCGCTTCTACATTTATCTCATATTATTATACATACATCATAAGCAGCTTTGTTTGTATGATGTTCAAATATACGAAATTTGCAATTTTCTATGTCGGCCCCGTCGGCAACAACGGTAAACATAAAACGTACATAATATTCAATTTGCAAAACGTATCATTTGAACACAGTCAGATGTAATGACAATTTAAGTATTTGTATAGATGTATAGGTTCACTCGTGTGATTGAGATTGCATCGAATGTTGAATCCACTAAGCAATTATGGATTCGGAATGAGTCACCGCAACTCGTGGACGTTTCCATCCAAGCGCCCTGCATTGCGCCAAATTCAGTTTGGTTTGATTCTATTTGTTCTTTTAATTGGAACAACAACGACAAGCGTGATCTGCCACCAATATTTCTGTAAGTCTGCCCCGATCGCTACCAATGAGTTACGCTACTACAATGTTCACCTGACTTCTATCACGTTTTCTTATAATAACGCTGAACAACAATATTATTATTCAACAAAATTTGTGATAACTGCCTTAAATATCACACTTCCAGTTAATCAACAATTTAAATTATTTTTATGTTAAATTTATTCTGTTTAGATAGATGTGTGTGCACACAATGCAATTGAATATTTTTAAACGAGCGATAAACCTGTACAGACTTTCAATAGCTTTGAGGATAGGCGTCCACATCACTTTGCACATAATACGTAAATTAACAGCACAAACATTCGTAATTTTTAAACCATTGTTTGTCGGCACACCTTGAGTCAACTCACGAGACGATTTAAGTTAATAAATAAATAAGTTTTTTTGAGTTACATAACCAAGCACTAGGCACACACAGAGCCGCTCCAACGCCCTGGCGGCCCTCGCTGCGACTGGATCCAGCACGCGTCAACGGAGGGTGGTCGCGATCGTCGAACTTCGTTACGAATCGGAATGAAACGATCGTGAGTCCTCGGGCGCTTTCGGAGCAAGCGCGCCTGCGGGCGGGCGGCGCCCGTTTGCCCCGCTCTACCCGCCTACCACACGATATAACAACCCTCTGTTTAAATTTATTTCTCTTAGAAATAACGGATATTTCAAAATAACTACTGATATTGATAACGACATTTATTGAATTGATGTTAGGTAAGTGCTTTAATAATTATTATGAAACCCGAACTCAGCCCGAGTTAGTATCAACTGACTTATACACTTACAAGACATGGCTTTTGTTGGCAAAATATTAAAAATGGTTAATGATATTCTAGCAAAATGTTGCAGGCTATTTTGAATGCAGTTTAAATATGTTATGTAAAATTGCACGGCTTAGTAACACTATGAATGCAGATTTCCTTATTCAAATAGACTAAGATGTAGACTAAGTAAATAGTATAATGCAGACGAAGTTTTGTTCAGCGCCGGCTTAATCTAATTAGAGTACAACATAGCAGAACGTTATCGCGCGCCTGTCACGCTTCGCTACCGAGTTTTCCCACGCGGAAAATATTCTTACCATCTTCGTGTTACGCTGAAGAAGTAAAAATACATGAAACGTTTACTTTATATACATGTTCAACATGAGGTGAATGCACTTTGAGCGGTTATTTACTCGCGTCAGATTAGTAGGGCACGCCATGAGATATTATTGATTGATATCATTTTTTCCGGTTTGATGTCACCCGTATATTCCCTTAATATCAACATCGAGTACGGTCCGTTAGTGATAGGTAGTCGTCCATCATTTTTAATATTCGTTAGCGGAGCGTGAAACTACGAAAATAAGTTATCTCGCGCCAATTTTTACGTTTTGATGGCGTTTTGTGTATCGAAGCAAATAATAATGTGTCTGGGGATTTCGATGACTTCCTATTACATCATTTTAAGAATTTATTTATTATTTATGTCACGCCTTGTTCTGATACTGACTTTTCACATATATAGTTTTATTTAATTTTAGCTTTAACCCCAAATATCTTAAGAAGTTCTAAGCGGGGGTATTTTTTCTCATCACAACCATTGTTAAAGCTCTTATAACGACAATAAGACCCCTTCATAAAATAATATTTAATTCTTGACCCAATGAAAAGTATCAAAAGTGACTAGTTAAAAACATCGAGTAAATCATCATCAATAATAAAAGGTCGGTAAGCGTCCACTCATTGAGTCTACAAAGTTCGCCCTTGCTCGTAGACTTGCAAAACAAACGACCCACGGGACGACGGAATGGTTAATGTCATAATCTTCGGAGGTAAGGTTTAGTGCTGTCTCCAAACCATCTTACCTCCCTAGATTATGACTGTAGGTACTTGTATAAATGTGCCATTTAAATATAGGTATGCGGTGGAGGTGACTTTGTAATCCGCTGTAGTTATCTACCCCTATAATACCTCTATCTATTGAAGTAGAATATAGTAAAGTATTTCTGTACCCGATAATAGGTACAATTTTAACTTGCAACAATTCTATTGTTCCTATTGCAATCAATAACTTTCATATGAATGCTGAACTTTGTAAAACTCTGCGTTGATTAAAGATTCCTCTCGTCGATCTATGAGCAGTTGAACAGGTTCATTCATATTCAAACCGTGGGTCTTCATACGCAATAAATGGTATGCTTGCCTACATGAAATCCTCTTGAATATTTCTTTTTGTTTTATTTACGGGAGGCATAGAAACGGTCGACCTTTTAATACATATATTCAGAGTCATTGTACCTGTA